AATTTATCTAACCTAATCTTGTCTAATTATCAGAAGAGCTTCCTACCTTGAATGACCAACAACCTGAGGGGAGAAGATATGGGTAAACTTTCTCTCTTTAAAAAAGCAACCTGTGTAAAAAGTGAGATCTTCTAATATATATCTGGGTTCCTGAAGCTTGGCTTAAGTGTTAAAATGAAAACCCACCTTAACATCCCAACAAAATACATACTATATACTCAGGGGTTAAGTACAAACTATTTCTCTAAACCAAAGCTGAATGTAGGCGTTGTCTTCTAATAATAGCAAAAAGAAGTGTGGAAATAAATTGGTTGCTGTTAAACACGTGTGTGAAACAAGAGCCAGCAGACAAGCTTTAAAGTAACTAAATGTTGAGTCCAAATTTAGTCATAGTTGTTTTAATTTTCATGTTCTTTTAAAACAACTCAATTTAAGAGTTTATGGCACATTCTAGGCTTAGACATCCACCCACCCCATCCACTACCTCCAGCAAGGAGGTAATATTTAGATAAACGGGTTTTTTTTCTGATATGATGATCACGATGCCATTATGATAGCTACCTTAGATCACTATGATATATTTCTTTCTTAAAAGATATTCTGTATTTTGTTAATATTCATACACCTTGTCCATCTTTCTACAAAGCTTGGTTTGAGACTGAAGCAAATAGGAACAATTCAGCTCTTAGGAGATTCACTAACCTAGGCTAAAGCTTTAAAATTCACATCCTTGGAAAAAGAGCTTTATTTATTTTTGTGGAGTGACACCTGCTTGGCTTTGATTTATTCTCTTTAAGGGGGACTTTTCAGGAAATCAGTAAAGCTGATTTAGAAATGCATAGTTAATCTAATGATTCCCTGCCACCCCATATCAACAATTTGACCTATCTTTCCAAGTGATTTGCATTGGGTAGTTCATTATAGTGAATTATATAAACAATAGTTTTATTTTAATAGGTAAATTTTGGAAACAATACTTAGAATTATCATTAGAAAGCAAATTAGCGTAAAAAATTAGGCTTCTCATGCAAAAATGGACCCCTATGTACTTACAAGCTTTCCTTTTTTTTTTTTTAAAGCAAAGTCTCATTGGTATTTTGTGTGTGTGTATGTGTGGGGAGGTAAAAAGGCAATTGTGAAATTATTTCTAAATAAGCTAAATTTTTTTTTAAAGGTAGTTCTTAAGCTGAAAAGCTGAAGATAACTTGGATTCACAAGTGCTGGTGTTGTCACATTGTTGGAAAGTTCTCAGTGAGGAGGTATTAAGGGGTGTTCCATTTGACTATAGATAGTATCACATAAATATTTTACAATCCTTGGTACCAAGTCAGATGAATGCTAGCCATAGAGTGACTTTCAACACAAATTATTAGCCTTTTGTCAACAGTCTATTCTTGCTCTAACTTAGAAAAATAGAAGTCTTTTTGTGAGTGTAGTTTGGTATTAGTATAATTTAGACCTCAATTTAGAAATTATTTCAGAAAAAAAAGTATCAGAAAAGTAGTAATGTTAGTCTCCACTTCTAGTCACTATTCTCAATCTAATATAGTTCATTTGCTCTTATTTAGAAGTAGTTACTTGCAGACTAACTAGTGTTTAGTCTTCTTGACTGTTTAGTTGGGGGATTTTTTTGACTGTTAACTTTCTTGAGGAGTGCTTTTCAATTTCTGTCTTCTCAAATTTACCTAGACTTAATAATAAGATAAAGCTGCCAAAGTAGCCATTTAGTGTCTGGAGGAGTCAGGTGAAACTAGTAACCTAGTAACTCCTGGGAACGGCAGAGCAGATGTTAGATTAGCCATAATCAAATGACACTGGAAAAAGAACTTGGTCTAGGATGGGACTAAATTACAGCTTTAAGAGTAAATAGCATCTTTTGAACTTGAAAGTTAGTAAATTGTCCTAGAGAATAGTAATTCTGATGAAAGCAAAATAAAACACACAGAATGCTACGGGGCTGAAAAAGTACACCTCTCTGAATAATGCTCTCTTTTTACATGAACGTGTCATTAGCACAAGTGTCCTTATTCTAAAGCAATAAATCTAGACATTTGTCAAAATAAGACAGGTATGTATAGTGTTCCAGATGTGTGAGTTTTCAAAACAAGCTCACTTGAAACATTTTCTAGTATTAGTTGGATATCTATGATGGAAAACATTAACTTTCACCTTAGGAGTATTAATGCTATTTATATCTTTAATGTATATAGTTGTCACTATTTAATATCAAGGGCCCTTAGTGAGAATTTAAATTTAAGTATAGTGTATAATACTAAGCCATTTGGGTGAAATAAAAAGATAGTGTTTATGAATCTGAAATTTTTTATCAATCTTAAAAAAACACTGAAACCATGAGTCATTCATCTATTATAAAGTAATGTAGTTTATAAACTACATTCTGTTTTCTCCTTGATAATAACACAAGTGAAATTTGAATTTTTATTTGAATTTTGAAGATTCTTCAAATGTTACAGAACAGTTGTTAAGGTGAAAT